CTGTGAAAACAGGGCTTGACTTGGGTTTTAGCAAAACACAGGTTATTCTTCTAGGGGTAGGGTTAAATGTGTTCCCAGAGAGATGCCAATGCCACTTTATTTTTGTAGTTCTCTCAGGAGGGCCTTTTAATAGCTCTTGGAGTAAGGGCAGTAATCCTTGGGAACGCGATAAATGGAGTTTACTCACCCCCCTCCGCTTTTTTTTCTTCTGTACTTGAGGCAACTAAATTGGAAACTGTGTTATCATGAATCTTATAATTTTTAAAAAGAAGTATTTCATTTTATTTATTATTTATTATTTATTTTTAAATTTGTTATAGGATGTGTATGCTCACCAGACAGACAGAGAGAGAGAAGGGGAAAGTAACAAGCAAGCCACCAGGTCCAGTATTTGAACCACGGTCAGCCATGTGGGAGTCTAGCACCTCAATCACCATGTCACCTCTGGGTTCCATGAATCCTACATTTTACTAGGACTTTCCTAGGACTGACAGTGAAATTTACTTGTCTGTCAAGATCAGGAATATTTAAGACATCAAATCTCATGACACGATCTTCAAGTACATTTGAAATGCTTTTTTTCCATAGCAATAGCTCTCAACTTCTCTGGGCTTATGAAAAAGAGTGTAAAAATGCTTTTCCTGATTTCTAAAACCATACTGTGTTTAGTTAGAACTAGGCTGTGCCGTAAGTAGTAGATAATTCAAACCAACTGTGGTTTAAGCTATAAATTTATTTCTCTCACTTAAAGAGAGCAAAGTGGTACCAATGTGGAATGGTGGGTCAGCTCTAGTAAGTCCTCAGGAACCCTGGCTCCTCCCACTGTATCTTCCCACCATGCTTATGATATGGTCCTTAGGCTCATGACCCACCTTCTAGCCAGTAAAATGAAAGAAAGGAAGGACAAAAAGGATGAAAAGGCACAAATTAGGGCAGGTTCTCAGATGCTCCCAGTGGAACACTTCCGCTTACATTTCATTGGTCAGAACTTAGACACATGGCCACACTTGACTGCAAGGGAGGCTGGGAAATGTAGTTTTTTTCCTTCCTGAAAAGTTTTGTGTCCAGTTGAAAATTCTTTTTCTATGTCATATACTCTAGGGCCTATGGTCTTTAGACTTCACTGATTTATATCAATTTTCCTTTGAGAATTTTGAAGTACCTGTTGAGATGACTGTGTAACAGCTTGAAGTGGTGTCACATCTTTATGAGAAGTGCCCCTGCCTTTTATAACATTCATACTCTCTACCAGTAATTTTGTTGTCAGTAGTCCTTACTAATTAATGATCTCTAAATACAGAAAAGGGTTTAAGCAAAATAACGTTCATCACCTAGTTGGAATCAGAATAAATGTCAAAATATGGAAAAAAATAGAATCAGAGTAAGTGACAAAATATGGAGGGCTGGTCAAATAAATTCTGAAACATTTCCTTAGTAGAAAATTATGTGTTTGTTAAAAACTTACCTTTACAAAGAGTCCACAGTAACATAGAAAAATTCTTATAATACTCTGTTAAATAAAATATAGGGATATGAACTTGTGGTATGGTTACCATGAACCTATGGACAGAGAGAAGGAGGGAGGGAGAGAGAGAATGACTTTGGAGGGGGCGTAATAGACTTTTAATTACTATTTTTCCTACATTTTTTTATTTTCTAAATTTTCTTCCTGTTACACTTAGTATTTTACTAGAAATAGAATTATATCCTATTCCTAGTGCCTATAAATACTACATTCTACTAATCTCATAGGGCTCACTTTAATCCCACCTTCTGTCCAAAAGATTCCTGGCAACTTGTGCTCTCTTCTGTATAACTGTTGATACCATGTTTAATGGAAAATCGTGTTTTTAAATGTGCCAGCATCAGGAGGAATTCTCTGCTGTCAGGGTCTCAGGGTCTGAAAGGAGTTAGACCTTTCTTTCTATAGTTCTTCATGGATACAGTACAGCCCTGTGGCTGGGGCTCACTGGTCAGATGCTCTAGCCCAGGACTTTGAACTGGAGGAAGCAACTTTGCAGAATTACTCAGGTTTGGGATATTGGATTAAGGAATGTTTGTTAATTTAAGGAACCAGGTTGAACAATAATGGTATTGAGGTTGTTTTTAAAAATTTTGATGTTCAAGTCCAGCAGAAGCAAGAGGGTAGCAATTATTGTTGGTGCCCCAGAAAGGTTTCAGTCTCTGTCTTCATCACTCACTGTCTCTATCTCTTTCTCTCTCACACACATACATGTATACACACTATAACGCCGATTTTGCATTCTTTTTTTAATTCTACCATCACCCAAGACAGTCTTTGCACACAGAAAGAGTTCAACACATGTTTCTTTGAATGGAAAACTTTTTTTCCAGTGCAAGACTCCAAGGCTACCTAGCAGGCTCAGTGGACTCTGCAACACCCCAGAGAGAACCAGCTTTCTTTAGTCCTGTCTGATGACTAATGTCTACTAACCCCATGGAGGATAATACCATTTGCTAGTCTTCCCAAGGGAAGACTATTTTATTTACAAAAATAAAAATAAAACAGTTCTCCTTCCTCTTTTTGTGGAATGATTAATCATAATAGCAGCAAACTCTGGCCAAGTACTTCCGGTATGCTAGGGGCTGGCCCAAATCCATCATATTTTTAAAAGTCTATTTTATTTACTTAATTTTATTTCTTTATTTATTTATTTTTGGAGAGGTTTTTGCTATAGGGCGTGTGCGTTTGCCAGACAGACAGAGAGAGACAGACAGACAGAAAGCAAGCAATCACCGCCCAGGGGGCATGGCCACAGCACAATCCCTTCTCCTCCATTCTCCTTGGTATCTTGGGCATGCACGCACACATACCCAGTGTGAGTTTAAGCCACCGGGTCCGGGACTCAAACCGCGGTCGACTACATGAGAGTTCAGCGACATAGCCATTATGCTAACTGCTGGTCCTTAAAAGTCTATTTTATTGAAAGAGAAAGATAGAGACCCCTAGTGGGGTCTCGTCATGCTGCAATCCCCTACACCAGGCCAGCCTTCCAGCAGCCAGGATCACGGGCGCAGCTGCGGGTGCACCTGGTATGTTCAGGCTGATGTAGGATTTGAACCCTGGTCCTTCCCACATAGCTCTAGTAGCATGCAGCAGCATTCTACTGCCTATGCCACTGTGGCTGGGCCTAAATTGTTCATATTTAATCACCACAATAATTCTGATATCATCCCCTTTCGATGGGGCTAGTCCCATGGCCTATTAGTTAAGGGAGCCAGAGCCCACATGGCTGACCATGCTGTACAAGTCTTAGTCCTGATGGCTTGAAAGACACACAGGGTGGCCAACAGGTAGCATAGTGATTAAGATACTGGAGTCTTATGTGGCTGACTATAGTGCAAGTCCCAGACCTGGCAGCTTGAAATTCAAACTGGACATGTATGCATGCATGCGTGCATGCACAAAATCCTGAGAGGAGAATGAAAGAGAAGCGATTGCAGCATGGCCATCCCCCTGGGGCTGATTTCTCACTTTCTATTTCTCTGTCTCTCCAGCAAGTGTACACACCTTATAGAAAAATCTTTTTTAAAAAAGACATGTGTGTACATGCCCCCAAAATCCTGACAGGATGCATAGAAAAACAGGAAAAAACATGACCACGCCCCACTGGGGGGTGCCTTCTCCCCTCCTCCCCCACAAGCACACATGCCAGCTGGCAAAATTCTAAACAAAACCAAAAAATGAGGAAGTTGTGAAGCATGAGCACTTCCATTTGCCGTCCTCCTCTCCCCGTAACCTGACCCATATGTACTTCCTAAAAATTTCTCACTCATTATAACTGTCTTTCCTGATAACTCGCTTTTTCGGCTTTTATAAACTGCTCTTGCATTTTCAATGCTTGTAGTTTTTTTGGCTTGTGTTTTTTTGGTTTTGTTTTGTTTTGTTTTGCCTTTATATACCTTACTCCTGCTTTGCTGCTGCCAGGTTTTGGAGTGACTCAAGTTCTCTCACAGTCAGCCAGCTAATAAAGACTCCTTTAATTTGGCCAAAATTGGATGCCTTCTTATTTTCTCACTGATCTGAATACAACAGTTGAGGCACAAAACAGTTCAGTCAATTGCCTAACGCTTCCCAGCTGATGGTCACCTGAGCCAGGCCTGAACGCAGGTAACCTAGCTATCGAACACGTTCTGACCCCTTGCTTCCTGGTCCTGGAGATATTTCCAAGTACAGTGCTCCTCCTCAAACGCTGACTTTAGATTTCTTCCTTCTCCAGGTCCCTCGTGAATGAGCCTCCTCTACCAGGTTGGGTCGCTGAGCATTCCAAGTTCCCTTGGGCTTCTCCCTAAGCCCTTCTTTCTACTCACAGCTAGACTCTCCCTGGGCAATTTCATTAAGGTGCTGGGGTTCCATCCCATCAGCATCTGGTTTGCACTTGAATCTGTATAACAGAAAAACATTAACTACACTATCTTAACCGAATGGAGCCTTAGTGTTTCTTTTTTCTAATAAGACTAACAATAGGTGATCTGGGCTGGCACCACATCTTTGCTGTCATCAGAAAATAGTAGCTATGAAAAGTAAGTAACTGGAAAGTTTTATAGGAAGCAGTATTGCTAAAAAAGTGCAGTGCAAGGACTAGCAGATGGCATAATGGTTACGTCACTGGACTCCCACATGGCCGACTGTGGTTTGAGTCCCGGACTCAGCGAATTGAAACTTGTGCCGGGCGTGTGTGTGCATGTCCTCAAGATACAGAGAGAGTGAAGGAGAAGGAATTGCAGTGCAGCCATTGCCCCTGGAGTGTGATTTCTCACTTTCTGTCTCTCCAGCAAGCCCACAAGTCCTATTGCAAAAATCTCTCTCTCTCAAAAAAAAAAAAAGGCAGTGCGTTACACATTAACACATGATTAAAAGTCATGTTAAAATTTAATTTCCATGGGCATCAAAATTGAGAGACTTTAGGTGATCTCTCTAAACTTACCTACTCATAAGTAAAGTGAGAACAATTTTTTTTAATGTGTCCATTTCACAGGGTCAAAGTGAAGAGCAAAGATGATCCCAGTCACTGTGCCAGGTGGCAGCATGCCACCCTGCAGTGCTAACAGTCACATGACCATGGATTGAATCTCCAGCCTGTTCAGCTTGACACATGCTGGGCACAGATAGAAGTGCCCAAGATCCAACACACTGCAGGACTGCGTAAAGTGTATCGTGGCATGACCAGACCCTGTGGAGGGTGCTTCCCCACCTCCCTGATGCAAATGCACATGCTCCCTTGTGAATAAAGAACTTAAATAACATAATGAGACGATGCGTGTATTAATAAGTGCTTGGTCCAGCAGTTGGTATGTTGCAAGTGCACAGTAAATATTACTTGTTAGTATAATATTAAGAAGTGAAAATTGGGGACCAGCAGGTGGCATGGGTAGGCAGCTGGATCCCACATAGCCGACCGCACGAGGTAAAGAGGTAAAGACCACAAGGACAATTCTTGGGTCCTTCCTCACTGCACTGACACTCAGCTGGAGCAGGAGGCAAAGGAGCCCCAGGAGGACCCAGGAAGGAAGAATAGTTGCAGGCCTGGCTGCTAACAGGCTGAGCCAGCAGGAAAATTACTTTCTCAAACTACAGATGGCTGTCGTTTCACTTCTGTCTTCCTGATCACTGCAAGAATCTCGTGTGTGGCCTAATCAGAAACGTACAGGAAATTCTTTTTCTTTTTTTTTTTTAAGAGATTTTTGCTATAGGGCGCATGCACTCACCAGAGAGACAAAGGCAGAAAGCAAGAAATCACCCAAGGAGGATGACCATGCCACAATCTTTTCTCCTCCATTCTCCTCTTGGGACTTTGGGCGTGTATGTACACACGCCCACCTTGAGTTTTAAGTCTCCTGGTCCAGGACTCAAACCATGGTAGATTACGAAGTCCAGCAACATAACCATTATGCCTATGCTATCTGCTGATCTCCCAGACAGGACATTCTTTCTTTTATTTTAAGCCACTGAGTCTGGGACACAAACTGCGGCTGGCCCTGTGGGACTCCAGTGATGTAACCATTCCACCATCTGCTGGTCCCAAGGAAATTCTTGAAAAGGTAATTCAGTCTAGCCCAGCTGAAACATTACAAAGACATTAGCCACCCTTTGTCAGGCTGGCACCCATACATGTCACCTTAAATCATACATATTCGCCAAATAAAGGCCGTAACTAAGTCCTGCTTATGTTCACCATGACACGACTATCCCTATCAAAACCAGAACCACTAGCCTTTTCCCAGAAGGGCATGAGTGCCTTTTTATCTTTGGGTAGTGTTATTTTCCTAGCTGATTCTCACTCCCTCCTTGACATCTTGAAATATCGATACATGTAAAGTTACCAACTGAGGCCAGTTGTGGTGGTTAAGGCACTGGACTCCCACATGGTCAACTGCGGTTTAAGTCCCAGGCCTGGCAGCTTCAAACACAGCGGTCATGTGTCTGTGGGAGCCCAAAATCCTGAGAAGAAAATGGAGAAGCGATTGTGGCATGACTCTCCCCCACAGGAGATGATTTCTCACCTTCTCTCCATCTCTGTCTCTTCAGTGAGTGCACATGCCCTACAGAATTATCTCTCAAAAATAAATAAATAAAGTGACCTACTACTTGCACACCTTAGATGACAAAGGGATGACAGGAGAGATAAAAACCAAACATTTGGCTAATATTTATTAGAATAGATTCCCATTAAAATATGGAAGAAATGTTTGTAACTATTACAGTCTTCATTTCTACAGCAAGATCCAAGGTCACAGCCAGGACTATTTATAACCACCGTCAGGCACGGCCCATTCCTTACTTCTTTGTCCTTGCCTGATGAAATGACCAACTACCTTAGTTAGTCATAGTTCCTTGCCTGATGAAATGACCCAAAACTTCTTTTGGTAAGGGTCTAGACCACTATCCGCCTAAGTTGGATTGTTACAGTTTTCTATTGACTTTAATCAGAGATTATGGGAGTACCCAGGAATGATCCCCCAAATCTTTTGCAGGCTTTCTCCTTATGTCCACTGTAGTAACAATCCAATTTCCCCTTGACAGTCAGGAACAGTCACTTCAGTCAGTCTTTGCCTGTTTGTTTTATTTTTTTAATACATCCTTTTTTTAAAAAAAATAATTATTTAATTTCATTTGTTATCTTTATTACTATTATTATTTTAAAGTTGCTACAGGGTATGTGTCAGGTCCAAGATTTGAGCCACGGTCAAACACCTTAGCTACCAGGCCACCTGCTGGCCCCAGTAGTCTTTGCCTGTTGATGCAGTGCCCATAGAGGTCGATGGCAGCTTCAAGATCCATTTTAGTGGAATTTTTGCTTTATCTCCTGATGAAAACATTTCTTTCTTTTAAGCTAAGACCTCTAAACCACCAGAGCCTATAAGAGACCGGAACAAAACTTTTTATTATTGAATCATTGGGGTTAATTAGAAATTCCTTTGATGTTTATCCCTTGATTCCTTGATTCTAGAATTCTGAGCATGAAAGAACCATGAATGTGGGAACCAGCAGTTAGAGTAATGGCTATGTCGCTGGACTCCCACGTAGTCGACCGAGGTTCGTGTCCCAGACCCGGTGGCTTAAAACTCACACCGGGCGCGTGTGCGTGCGTGCCCAAGATCCCGAGAGGAGAATGGAGGAGAAGGGATTGTGGCGTGACCATCCCCCCTGGGGGGTGATTTCTCGCTTTCTGTCTCTGTCTCTCTCTGTCTGTCTGGCGAGCGCACGCGCCCTACAGTGAAAATCTCTCCAAAAAAAAAAAAAAAAGAACCATGAATGTTGATTATTTAGAGCATAACACACATACTAGAGGGTAAAACCCCAGCCCTGCCAGTTATCACCACTAGCTAGTACTATAGTCGAACTTTCTTTTTCTTTCTTTAAGAGAAATTTTTGCTACAGGGCATGTGCACTTGCAGAAGAAAGAAAGTGAAAAAATCACCTCCTGGGGGGGATTGCCACTTCTCTTGGAATTTTGGGCACGCACGCACATGCACCTGGTGTGATTTTTCAGTCTCTGGGCCTGGGATTCGAACCATAGTCAGCCATGTAGGAGTCCTGTGATGTAATCATTACACCATCTGCTGCATCCATGTAACTGAATTTTCAAAAAACCATCCACCTACCTGTCACAGCAGTTGCTTTAAGATGCTGGCGAACATTGTGAGACCATTCAATTCCACTTGCATAAACTCAACGCTTCATTTCATTTGCTGTGAACACCATGACGGTGGTTAAGGCTTCTATGAGCCAGATGGTGGTATTGGCTGAAGCGATGTGGGCAGGGAAGGCAAATCTGTGTCCAGAGCAAGTGTCAGTTCCAATAAGAACAAAGTGCTGCTTCTTCCATAGTGAAAGTGGTGCAATGTAATCACCCTAGCACCACCAGGTAGCTGGCTGATCTCTTCAGGCAATGGTGCCACATTAGGGATTCAGCGCTGTCTCTGTGGCTGGCAGATTGGGCACTCCGTTGTAGCCCGGCCTTGGTGAGTGGATGTCTGTGTTTCAGAGCTCACACGTGACCACCATGGCTGCATTGTTCACGAGCCCACAAGAGTGGCTGGAGAAGGCTATAGACTAAGGCTATCTGTAGACTAAGTCATCCTACCCACCTGATTGCTAAAATCTCCCTTTACTCCTTGGCAGTCATTCGCGAGGAACACAAATACTTTCATACTCTCCCATTCAGAGAGGCCTAGTCTTATACCTCTTCCTCAGACCTCCTTGTCATATTTGCAATCATGTTTATTCTAAGTTTCTGACTGCCCAGCCACAGCATGGTTTGGTGCAGGTACATACTCCCCAACAGGCAAATGAACCATCAGGTGCACTGCTCCAAGTCCTGCCCCTTGAGAGGATTTTCCTTCACTGCCATCTTTCAGGACCCTCTCAGGATGAATCACCAGAGCCCTGCTTACAACCATGACAACTAGAAATTACTTGTGGGAAACAACTGGGAATTTGTTGGGAATGGCATAGTGGTTAAGGCACTGGATTAATAAATAATCATGGTACAACCATACAATTAGGTGCTCAGCAGCCATTAAAAATGTTATAGAACATTTATTGACATGAAACAGTAATTAGGACATACTGATATGTGAACAAAGTTGATGGCGGTAAGATAGTAAACAATGATGATTCCATTTTTATAAAAAATATATATGTATATATTGCAAAAAAAAAGATGTTCAAGGATATATACTAAATTGGTAACAGTGCTTATCCCTGAGAAGGGAGTATATGGGTGTTTATTTCATTCTTTGTTTACCTGTATTTCTCACTTTTTCTATAAATCACATCATTTGATTTTGTAATAAGAAACAGTTAAATCTATTACAATCCTTCATTTTATGAAAACAATTCCATTTTTAAAAACTTAGATTTTTTTTTTCTTTAAGAAGCAGAAATGATTTCCAGACTGCCACAGAGGCAATGATTTCTTCCTCTGCAGAAACCTTCATAATCACAGCCTAAGTTAGACGCAGGGCAGAATGATGCTCCCTACAGCTTGAAGTCCTCCTCGATCTGACTCTTGTGCTCCAAGATCCAGCCAACTCCTCTCCAGCCCAGTCTATCCTATTCCTCCCCCAAGCCCATTCTATCCTATTCCTGCGGAGTCACCAGCCTCATCATCTTCAGAGCCATATCCCCTTGGTCAGAAGGGACCTAGGAACAACCAGCATGCAAGTTAGTGCTCCTGGGGCTACTCCCAGGGCCAGGCTGGGGATATAGCCCCAAACCTTGTTCCCAGAAGGGAGCCAGCGCTGTGATAGCAACTGAGGACAGCTGCACCTGGTGCTTCCCTTGAGGAGAACATCCCTTCTGGACATGAGTCTTGTGCTAAGCAGATAGTCCTCTGGGCCCCAACTGTATTGGGGGACAAGGGTCTGGAGAAGTCAACATTTAGGAAGGAGCTTCTACTCCATCTCTCCCTATATCCCCTTAGGGATAAACTATTAAGAGGAAAGTAACTTATTAGTTCATTTAAACTAAAGAGTAGGGCAGGGGCCAGTAAATGGCACCGTGGTTAAGGCACTGGACTCCCACATGGTCAATGACAGTTCGAGTCCTAGACCTGGCAGCTTGAAACTCACACCATGTGTGTGTGTGTGTGTGTGTGTGTGTGTGTGTGCAAGCCCAAAATCCTGAGAAGGGAAGGGAGGAGGAAGAACTGTGGTGTGGCCATGCCCCATGGGGATGATTCTCACTTTCTGTGTCTCTGGGGAGTGCATGTGCCCTACAGCAAGACTGTCTCTCTCAAAAACAGTAGGGCTATCACACAGTGTGGTGATTAAGCACTGGGAGCCGGGTCCCACATGGCTGACTGGCCCCAGTGACTTGAAAAACACAGTAGGTGTGTGTGTGTTAAGTCTAGAATTTTGAAAAGAAGGAGAAGTGGAGGAAAAAGGGTTGTGGTGTGATCACACACCATGTTCTCTCTCTGGTGAGCACATATGCCCTCTGAATTATTAGTTAATTAAAGAGTAAAAGACGAGCTAGTGGGTGGCATGGTAGTTGAAATGCTGAACTCCCACATGGCCGACTGTAGTTCAAGTCCCAGACCAGGCAGTTTGCTTTCTCACTTGCTTGCTCTCTCTCTCTGGTTAGTGCACTTGCTCTATAGCAAATTAAAAACATAATAAATAAGTTAAATAAATAATTCTAAAAAAAAAAAAAAAACAGTAAAGGGCAGAGTCTAGCTTAACTCTCTCAGTATTTACTCTTACTCTTTTTTTTTTTTTTTAAAAGAATTATTGGGGGCTGGCAGGTGGCATGGTGGTTGGGGGTGTTGGACTCCCACATGGCTGACCCTGTTTCAATCTCAGACCTGCCAGCTTGCTTTCTCACTTTCCTCTCTCTTGTCCAATAAAAAAAAAAAAAAAAAGAGTAAATACTGAGAGAGTTAAGCTAGACTCTGCCCTTTACTGTTTTTTTTTTTTTTTTATTGGACAAGAGAGAGGAAAGTGAGAAAGCAAGCCGCCAGGTCCAGGACTGGAACCATGGTTGGCAACATGGGAGTCCAGCATCTTAACCATCATGCTACCTGTCAGCTCTGGATTTACTCTCCTTTACATTTGCTTAGACAGGGTCTCTGTGTTAGTATCCTCCTGCCTCAGCCTCCTGAGGAGCTAGGATCACAAGGGCACACCACCATGGCTGGCTTTTTTTTTTTTCTTTTTTTCTTTTTTTTTTTTTTAGGTTTTTGCCATAGGATATGTGCATTCACCAGAGAGACAGAGAGAAAGTGAGAAAGCACATACCCCAGGGGAATGCCACACTGCAATCCCTTCTCCACCATTGTCCTCTCAGAATTTTGGGCATGGGAACCAGCAGTTAGCGTAATGGCTATGTCGCTGGACTCCGACGGTG